TGACATTATCACTGTCTAGATAAGCAGATAGCTCATAAGCAACGGCAGAAGTAGATAAAGAAGGACTGGGAGCAGAGGCAGGGGAAGGTCTAACAACACCAGATGCTCCAGGACCTCCAAAAATTCTTTCCCATGCCTGCTTCCTCTTACCTGTGATGCTTGCAGGATGTGCAACCCTCCTTTGAGACCTAGCTGCATCAAACTTTTCTTCATACTTGTTAAACAACTTGAAAATTTCAGTTTTCACAATACCATAATAAGAACTGTAGTCAAAACCAGTTTTTGTTGCATTATGATAAGAACATTAAACAAACCTCTCATTTTACCTCTAGGATCAAGAATGAATGCAAATGAATACAACAAAGGTATGTCCTTCCAGTATTTTAGGTATTTAAGCTTCATAGGATAGACAATAGAAAATATATTCTGATCCTTTGAACTTTCATGCAAATGAGTTATAATATATAGCAGATGTGAAAGGTCCTTGTTTGGTTTTGGTAATTGAGTGATAACCTAGGTGGACTAATTGTGTTTACGTGAGATACACAGGTAATTAGTCCACAGGTACATGTGTGTGAGCAACATATGCCATGAAGGTGACAATGGCTTGGAGATGTTGCAAAACTCACACATGTGATGATGAAGGAGCTTAAATGCACATGAGACATGACATTGAGTCATGTGATCAAGGTGGAGAAGATCAAGACAAGACTTGGCTTGATGGACCGGTTGCAAGCGTGAAGGGCAAGTCGAAGGCTTTGGAGTGATGGACCGTGTGGCGGTGAAGCTTGAGCAAGACTTGGCGCCGATGAACGATGGCAACGGTGAAGAGCAAGTGAAGTCAAGATCGATGAACCAATATGATCACGTGATGATATAAAGTGGATCATATCATTGTTGATCATGTTGGTGCATATGTTGCATCGACATTGGAGGAGATGAAATGGAATGCGCAAGGCAAAGGTATAACCTAGGGCATTTCATTTCACCGGTCATAGGTGTGTAGAGAAGTATATGACCGGGTTTAGGATAGATGGCCATACTATCAAGAGGGGCAAACTTGTTTGCATATCGGTCATCTAGTGCCACTCGAGTGATCTAACTTTGCATCGTCGCTAGGATCGAGTGGCGTGGCAAGTTGAGTGGCTAACATCCTTTGGGAAATGATTGTGAAAAGCCAACACACATACACATGATGGTGTACACTTGGTGGTGTTGGTACATTTACAAAGGAGGTGGTGTTTGCAGGGTTGAGATGGGTTTGGGTCCCTCTCTCTCTCCCGCCGAGCTTGCTCGGCGGGATTCGGCGCTTTCGGAAAAATGGAATGCCTATTTTCTATTGCGCCGGATGTAAATTCTTGTGGTTGGCACATTGGAGCAAGGGTGAAGAAGTTAGAAGTGAAAATGAGTTGATCGCGAAGATGCTGGTGTCGGTCTACTGACCGGACGCTGGGTCATGCAGTGACCGGACGCTGAAAGGCTGTGTCCTGTCAAACTGACGGGTCCGCTCTGTACCGAGGGTATTGCACCGGACGCTGGTCTGTGTCCGGTCAAGGTGGACCGGACGCGTCCGGTCGAGAAAATATGCCTCGGGGAGCTTACTGGAAATGACCGGACGCTGGGGCTTCAGCGTTCGGTCAGTTTTACCGCTGCGTCCGGTCAGGTCAAGTGACCGTTGGGATCGGGACGCGTGGCCGTCTGCAGACGACCGGATGCTGAGGTCCAGCATCCGGTCAACTCGACCGGAGCGTCCGGTCAGCCCGACTTTTGCCCAGTGAAGGGGTAACGGCTAGTTTAGCCCTTGGGGCTATAAATAGAAGTGCCCCTCGACCATGACTGGTGCTGAGCACATTGGGGGACTTAGTGTCCATGCTTGTAAGTACTTGGAAACCCTCCATCACACATATACTTGATAGTGATCATTCGATTGTGTGAGTGAGCGATTCTAGTGCGATTGCATCGTGATGTTGCATCGAGTGGCACTAGGTGGTCGTGTTGCAAGCTGGTGGTGCTTGTTACTCTTGGAGGTTGCCACCTCCTAGACGGCTTGGTGGTGGTCTCCGTCGAAGCCCGCAAGAAGCTTGTGCGGCGCTCCGGAGAAGTGCTTGTGAGGGGTACTTGTGCTCGCCCCGTGGGAGTCACGAAGAGCAACTTTAGTAAAGCGTGTCATTGAGCTACCCTCACTCAAGGGGTAGGTTCTTGCGGTGCCCGACGTGCGGGCTTAGCGGGTGATGCTAATTAGCCGCCGAACCACCAAGTGAGCGGTCGACACAACGGGGACTAGCGTGTTGGCAAACACGTGAACCTCGGGAGAAAAATCATCGTGTCAACCTTATTCTTCCCGTTGGTTTGCATCCCCATTACACAAGCTTGCAATTACTTTTATATATCTTAAGCTTGTGTAATTGCTCTTGTAATTAGATAGCTTGTGTAGCTAGCTAATTACCTTCTTGCTTATGTAGCATAGAAGTAGCTCCCTTACGTGGCTAATTTGGTTTTAGTAACCTTGTTAGTCACATTGCTTAGTTTGTGTAGCTAAGTATTTGCGCTCTCTAATTAGGCATTTGTTGCCTTGTTATTGAGCATTGCTAGTGAGCTTAGTTAGCTTTGTGCTTTTGCTTACTAGCATGTGTAGGAGCTCCCTTGTTACTTAAAGTACTAGTGGCATAGGTTTGTGTGACCTTGCTCCTAGAATTGTTTAGGAGAGCTCTAGCTAGCCCGGCACCTTAGTTGCTTTATTAGTATCTTTGCAAGGTGCTATAGAACATATATTGAGGGGTGTAGTCTTGGCTAGACCAATAGTTGTATTTCTGCATTTGTTTCGGTTAGCCGACGCGATTAATTTTACAAAAGACTATTCACCCCCCTCTAGTCCGCCATCTCGACCCTACAAGATGGTGCAGAATAAGTGGACTAGTTGGATAGTAAACACCAGAAAAAGTGATTGTGGAGCCATAAAAAACTTCCAGGAATTCAAGTATTTTATCAGCAATATACCAGTGACTTACAGTTAACAACGTTGAGCCATAGTTGGAATTAATGAACACAGAAAAAATATCCTTATATGAAAGCAGGTGTTTAAGCATAAGATATGTAGCATTCCATCTAACATCCATATCCAAACCAAACTTTATAGGTCTAACACCCTTAGTATTACCAAACTTTCTGCAACTCCCAGTCAGCAGTCACATAATGAGCAACAACACTGATATAGTCTTCTTTTACATTACCAGACCAAATGTCTGATGTCAGACCAACAGAAGAAGCACCAGACAACACACAGTTCTTAATTATATTACGTCGTTCATTAAAAACTTTGCCAAGATCTCTAGTGGTGGTCTGTCTAGAGACCTTAACAAACCTAGGATTATGAGCTCTAACAATATATTCTTCCCAAGCATCGGTCTCACCAATTTCTAAAGGCAGATCAAGCTTAGCAATCAAACGAAGAGATCTAGCAACTTCAGGTTTATAATCCCGATTATAAAATGTAACCATCGAGATTGTATGAAAGCCTAGATTGAACCCTAACACATTGATCGATTTTAATCCTACATGATTTTTGGTGCCTTTTAAGTGACAAAGTGCAGAAGAGATCTAGCAGACAAGATAGATTTGCACATCTTACAAACAACCTTGGTGCAAATTCTAGAACCATTAATAACCTCATAGATCTCCTCAAAATCAGCCCACCACAGACGATTTGCGCTTACTAGTGTTACTGTACAAAGAACCAGAGGAGCAGAGCCGTTGGAGTTCACGATCGCTTATCGCCCCTTCGCCACCGGTCGCGGCCCACATCGATCGGAGCAAAGCAGAGCCGTCCCCAAGATCGACATCGAACAACGCAGCTGAAGATCGGCTCGAGTGTCGTCGTCGTTCTCGCCCTCTGGGCGAAGCCAATCGGTAGGAGGCCATCCTCGTCGATCATGGTCGCCTCTCCATTTTTGTTCCTCGACGATGCGAGTGGCCGCATTGCTCGCTCTAAGTCAGTAGCTAGAAGACAATGCATCGGCCATCGACACTGTGAAACAATGGAAGAAGAAGAAATCGAAGCATACATTGAAAGAAAAGAAGAAATTAGAACATGGTTGGGGTTAGGGTTTTTCACTGCTGGAGAATGAGATCTTGGGAGAAGGCGAGCGAGCACCCAGAGTCGAGAGAGGCGACACTCACCAAGAACACGACTTGCGGGACGGAGGAGGGACAAACAGAGACAACCAACTCACATAGTCAACGAGATCTAGAGGGAGATAGGGAGAGGGAGAATGGAGAGTCAGGGACGGAGGGGAGGACGCCGACGGGAGGCGGATCGTGGTCACCGGAGACGGCGAGGCGTCACTGGCCACTGCGTTTGAGAGCGGCGCGGTGGCTGATGGTGATGGGATGCGAATGGGCAAATGGGAAATTGGGGATTAGGGTTAGGTTACGAGCAGGAGTGCGGGACTGAGGGGAGGCCGGGAGGGGGGCACCGCATCGGCCGCCTTTTTATAGGTGGGGTCTGGGGTGGCGGCGTGGGGGCGTGGGGGGAGCCGTTGGCGAGCTGGGCCGCCTCCCTCTCGGGCCGCTGCCGGGCCTCCTCTAAAACCCTATGCCGGGCCGTGCCAACCTGGCTGGCTCAATCATCGCCTGAGACGCGGCTGGTGGCTGCGCGTGCCGGGCCAGCTCGAGAGCCCAGTAGCCTCTCTGGCTGGGCCGTGCTTGTGTCGGGCCAAAAGGCCAGGCTTCGGGCCGGGCTGTCGGGCCTCGGGATGCATGGCGAGGTATATTCATAGGACAAGTGACCACGATATCCGTTGCCGCGTGTTGGTGCTGCCCACATAGGACAGAACACACCCCGCCGTATCACCCTCCCACGGCGAACTGCGAGAGCGCGCCTCGCAATCTCCGCCACCGCACGGTGGCACCATCAAAACCAAAAAGTTCTCCCACGCTGTCACCGCACCGCATCTCCCTTCCACTCCACTCCAGTCCGCCGCTTCCATTCCCCCGCCGCCGCCATGGCCGCCGCCAATTCCCTCCTGCACGCACCAGTCCCCCGCGGGGCCGCCGCCACCCGCTCGCCCCTCTCTCCTCCCGCGCCCACTCCTCCCTTCCTCCTCCGTCTCCGCGCTCGGCGCCCTCACCGCCGCCTCCTCCGCTCCTCCTCCCCGACCGCCGCCTCCGACCTCACCGCCTTCCCTCCCCCGAACCCGAACGGGATCTTCGCGTCCGACCCTCCCATCGACGTGGACGCCGCCACGGAGGCGGACCTGCGGGAGAACGGGTTCCGGAGCACGCGCCGCACCAAGCTCGTCTGCACCGTGGGCCCCGCCACCTCGTCGCCCGACCAGCTCGAGGCGCTCGCCGTCGGCGGGATGAACGTGGCCCGCCTCAACATGTGCCACGGGGACCGGGAGTGGCACCGGGCCGCCATCCGCGCCGTCAGGAGGCTCAATGAGGAGAAGGGATTCGCCGTCGCCGTCATGATGGACACCGAGGGCAGCGAGATCCACATGGGCGACCTCGGCGGCGCGTCCTCGGTCAAGGCGGAGGTGAGCTGCTCATCATCGGTTTGTTTGGGCTTGGCGGTGCAGTTTTAACCTTTCAGAGTGAACGGCTCCTTTTTTTAGTCTTGTACGTATTCCATGGAAGTAAATTGTGCTCCCCAATATGGATGAGGGAGAAGGGAGGGAGGGTGTTCGCCAATCGGTCAATTTCTGCATTGTAGTAATTGATTCATACTTGTACCAAACCTGGCAAACCCAATTTCACCGGAGTTCTCTCTTCAACCAAAATGGCTCAGTTGATCTACATTTTCGGCTCAGGCTTGAAACCATTATAGAAGGGAAAACCATGCACATTTGTTGTGAAACATTCAATACTGAAACTGGCAGAATATTTCAGGGCTTTCAAAAGTAACTGAAACAAAATGCATGGTAAAAATTACCATGTATTCGCTTTCTTTGCATGTCAGCTGGGTGCCAAGACTCTAGTAAAAGTGACAGGCACTGAGCTTCTGAAAGTAGTTTTCTAGATCATAGGCCTAAGCCTCGACCCTCAGGTAGATTCTTGAAAGTATGTCCACATAGAAATGTAACTGGATGGTTGAATCTGGTGATAGTTATGTTTTACATAATACATTCTATCATATAATACAAAGAAACTAAACTGCTTCTATAATCGTCAGCTGATATCAGCGCTCGGGTCACTAGCCCAAAAAAGGAGATTATCTTAGCATTCAGCTGTTTATTTTAAGTTATTAACCATACAGTTAGAAGCTGACTGTGTGCCTGTGCAAAATTCCTTGTTTTCTTCAGCCACATTATTTTCCAAATGATTTCCATTTTCTTATAGTATCAAAATATTCCTGAAGTAATTAACAAATCCTGTCACATTTGTTGGATTCCACAGGATGGAGAAGTATGGACGTTTAGCGTTAGATCATTTGAACTGCCTCTCCCAGAACGAACTATTAATGTGAACTATGATGGATTTGCTGAAGGTATTTAAGCTAGCCTATTTGTTGATATTGTTTGTAGTTCTGTTCTTTAGCATAACATTGCATTTAAATCCTACACAGATGTGAGAGTTGGTGATGAGCTTCTTGTGGATGGTGGAATGGCTCAGTTTGAGGTGATTGAGAAGATAGGACCAGATGTTAAGTGCCGTTGCACAGATCCTGGTTTATTGTTGCCACGTGCCAATCTTACATTCTGGCGTGACGGCAGTATCGTCCGTGAGAGGAATGCTATGCTTCCTACAATTTCATCAAAGGTAAATCCATTAGCATAATAAATTTCTTGCTGTAATTACCAAAAGGCTGTAAAGCAAAACCCTATAAATGTATACCATTGCTCGTGTTACAATGGATTTACACCTTCTTTTTCGATCGATACCATGATCAGTTCAAAACATTGTGCACTGAAACTCATCTCTGGATAATTTATCAGCTATTCCTAAAGAAGTCTGCTACCAACTAGAGTTGTTTAGTTGAGAAATGAAATCGTCTAGTAGTAGATATCAATATATAACAATACTGCTCCTTTTCTTGTGACAACCTGTGCAGGATTGGCTTGACATAGACTTTGGAATTGCCGAAGGTGTAGATTTCATCGCTGTTTCATTTGTCAAGTCTGCAGAAGTAATTAAACACTTGAAAAGCTACATAGCTGCAAGGGGCCGTGGCAGGTACCAAGCGTATAATTTTATATTAATTTAAGTTTGTGCTTATTCGGAAGACTTTATTCAGCATTGTTAAACTGATGATGGGTGTTCCTAGAACTGTTCTGGATGCTTAGCCATTGTTGCTGGTTGCTTCCTGGTCACTGGTCATTTCTGGATGATTATTCATATTGGTAGCCATTTGATGGGATGTATTCAAATAATTTTGTTCAACAATGTGATTCACAGTAGAATTATAACTGTTTAAAATTGCATGACCAACCTCAACCATAACTTGGTGTCATCTCAGCCCCTATAATTCTTCTACATGCATTAAAAAACTGTCAGTATGTGTCCCCTGTTTTTATTTGATGTGCTACAGTCATTTTGCCATTGTACATCCATCTCATGTTCTGTGGTTAGTTAGTGACACTGCACAAAGTTACCTAACTTAAAACCTAAAACCTTTAAAGGCCCCAACTCCCAGAAAATATCAAACTTACTGTGTTTTCTTTACGCTTTAATTAATTAGGCCTTGCAAACATCCAGATAAAAGCATTGCATATGTTTTTCTTACTAGAAATGCCGTAATGTTGTATTTCTGACATGTTTCTTTCGTTTCATCAATATTTGTTGCTTGATTACTCTAATGCTTTGTTGTATATGATCAGTGATTTAGCAGTCATTGCAAAAATTGAGAGCATTGACTCTTTAAAGAACCTGGAGGAGATCATCCGTGCATCAGATGGTGCCATGGTAGCCCGAGGGGATATGGGGGCACAGGTTCCCTTGGAGCAGGTCCCCTCAATACAACAAAAGATAGTTCAACTGTGCAGGCAGCTTAACAAGCCAGTCATTGTTGCTTCTCAGCTTCTCGAATCGATGATAGAGTATCCCACACCCACCAGGGCCGAAGTTGCAGATGTTTCTGAAGCTGTCCGCCAGCGAGCTGATGCTCTAATGCTTTCTGGCGAGTCTGCAATGGGGAGGTACCCGGATAAGGCTCTTAGTGTTCTAAGGAGCGTTAGCCTAAGGATTGAAAAGTGGTGGAGAGAGGAGAAGCGTCATGAGGCCCTGGAACTTCAAAGTGTTTCATCTTCCTTCTCTGACAAGATATCAGAAGAGATCTGCAACTCAGCAGCTAAAATGGGTATCTGCTGCCATCTTCCTGTTGTTGCATATATTATTCCTATTATTGTGTTTACTGACAGAATGTTTCCATTCCGTTGCTCTTAGATATATCTAAACAAAACTGATTTCATTTGCAGCTAATGGCTTGGGAGTAGACGCCGTTTTTGTTTTCACCAAGACTGGCCACATGGCCTCCCTGCTCTCGCGGTGCCGCCCCGACTGCCCAGTTTTCGCCTTCACAACCTCGACGTCTGTCAGGAGACGGCTGAACCTCCAGTGGGGCCTGATCCCCTTCCGCCTCAGCTTCTCCGATGACATGGAGAGCAACCTGAACCGCACCTTCTCCCTGCTCAAGGCCAGGGGCATGATCCAGTCTGGCGACCTCGTGATCGCACTCTCAGACATGCTGCAATCCATTCAGGTGATGAACGTACCCTAAGATAGAGCCTTATCTGCATGTCGCACGATCCTGTATCAGACGGAACACGCACATTATCGACATCTTGAAGGACAGGTCCTTGCGCCTAAACCATTGGCTTTTTCACTGTATTAGATGCTGCTATGCTAGGCGTAGTCTGGCCCAGGGAACTGTGGCAATAATTTGTGGCCTTCAGGCTGTTGTAGAACTGTTATATTACTTATAGGCTTAGGTGACGTTTAATGTGCAAGTAGTTGTTTTGATGTTTTTGCGTGATATAAAACGGTTTCCAGCTATGTTCTCTTGTGATGTTGTATCGATGATGCGTGCAGCTAATCTGCTTAAACTTTAGTTATTGACATCTGTATACTTTACTTGGCACATGGCCACATGGGCATGGTGTATACATTTGTCTAGAGAAACAATACGAAACAAGAAATGAAAGTTCGGGTGATATTGAACATGGAATGAAATTTAGGGGTGTAACAAGAAACATGAGTTTGTGCAGTCAAACTATTGAATCGGAAATTGAAATTCCTATATATATAGGGCTTGTTTGGAACGTAGGAATTTTACAGGAATCTCGCAGGAATTTCATAGGAATCAGTTTAATATTACAGAAAAAACGCAGGAACAGAGATTTTTTCCCGCAATCCAAACAGGCCCATAACCTTTGCCTCTTCTATGTACTGATACAGTGATACATATTCTCCAATGCTATATGCACACAGATGTCAAAGAAACCATTTGGTTAGAGCAGTGTTTTAGTCATCATTTTGACTAGACTGATTATTAGATAGTGGCCAGAGCCAGAAATGAGGTGCGACGAATGTGGAATTTGCGATCATTGAATTTGAATTTGTGAATGTTAAGTTGTTGTTAACTTGTCAAACTAACGGTGATGGGCGTAGTAGTAGAGTTATTACTCTGATAATGATGATGTAAAGAACTTTCAATCTTACTAGTATAACAAATCTGAATCTTAGAACTTTCAATCTTACTAGTATAACAAATCTGGATCTTTTGAACTATGATATGATAGGGAAATAAAACGCAAGACCGCGTAAACATCCACAAATCCAAATCCTAAAAACAAATCAAATGGTAACAGATACGCTCTCTTCGACCTACTTGACTCCCAAGAGGTTTCCCCTGTACAACCCAACAACGCTACACAACTTTCCGAAATTCACCACCTCCTCACAACTGCCAGTCCGTGGATTATACACTCGCACCACGCTGTTCGGTCCTCGCACCCAGAACGCAATGCGTCCATCATCCAGCACCATCAACGGCTTCGCCATGCTTTCTCCACCGCGGAGAACCTTGCCTAGAGGAAGAGACTCCACCCTCAGCCACGTCCCCTTGTCCAGGTCCGTCAGCACCCACATGTCCATGGCGACGGACAGGTAGTCGTGGTGCACAAACACCAGGCAGCCGTTGAGCTCGACCAGGCTCAGGCTGTCGCTGCAGCAGTTGCGCTTGTCGGAGGAGAGCGGGCACTGGAGGAGCGCCGGCCTCCACTTCTCCGTCGCCATGTCGAACGAGGCGATGACATCGTACTCCGCCCTCTGAGGGATCAAGAAGTGGGCGACTCCTCGGGTGACCGCCCAGTGCCGAGAGGGCGCCGTGCCGACGACCACCGGAGGGCTCGGCGCCGGCCTCCAACGCTGCTGCTTGCCGCCGCTGCCGCTGAGGGTGAGGATCTCGCACGACTGCTTGGTCTCGCCGTATTCGGCGGTGTAGACGCGGAGCACCTTGTGCTCCCCCGTCGCGGGGACGTGCCCGAACACATACGCCGACGAGGTCTTGTTGCCGTTCGCGTACGCCGGGATGCTGGTGACGTCGCCGGTGGCCGGGTCGAGCACGCTGACGGCCGCCGTGCCGCCGGTGCCGACGAGGCAGAGGAGGCCGCCGGTGACGCCGAAGTGGCCGTTGCCTTGGCGGTCCAGACGGGCGACCGTCGCGCCGGACGCCACGTCCACGAGCTTGACGTCGACGCGGGAGATGTCGGCGGCGTTGTAGTCGGCGGCGACGAGGAGCGGGTTCGTCTTGCTGGTTGGCCGTCCGACGGTGCGGAGGCAGCCGAGGAGCTTCGTAGGCGGGTGCAGCTGCCCGCCGTCGTCGTCCGTGGGGAGGACGGCGGCCCCGTTGTTGGGCGGTGCTAGCAGATATGCCATTGAGTCGAGTCGAGTCAATACTCGATCGAGAACTAGAAACGATCGATCGAGAACCAGAACTGGTGTGATATGATTGTGTCCGTGCGCTCTTGTGGTGGCTTATTATAAGGACAGGCTGGGTGTCCTCGAGGCGAGTCCGAGTCAGCGAGCCAGAGCCTCACCGTCACCGACTCTCTCAAGACTCAAGTCTCGATCCCCTTGCCTCCAGGACGACTCTAGCTTGGCCTCTCGAATCCGATACGCGATCTCCTCCCACAATTTTTTCTTTTTTTTCGACTCCAGCCACGCGCCCACGCCACACCACGATCCCAAGTTCCCAACCCACCTCTGCGGCTCTGCCTGTGCACCTTGGGCCTTGGGCTTTGGCCAACCCAGAGCGAGCCTTCGAAGCTGACGGCCCAGAGCGAGCGTCGAGGCCTGCCACTGGTCCACAAACTACACAAATTCTCCTAAAAAAAAGCACAAAAAGTTCTTCCGACTGGCCTCAATTATTGTATTAATCCGATTTACCTCCTTCAATTATAAAACCAGATGTTTGCACTCCTTAACTATTGAAACCTTCTTATTTACAAACATGAGTAGTTTTAAAAAGCAGTTTTGGTTGACGTGGCACCACGTTAGTCGTCCTGGTGCCTCCCTGGCCACGATGGAGATAAATTAGACTTTCACAATAGTTGAGGTAGGTTAATTAGACTTTATAAAAAATGTTGTAAAATATTTTTTTTTCAAAAACTATCTAAATATTTTTTCTAGAATAAATTAATATTAAAAAAATACTAAAATCTGATTTAATGTTAGAAAATTCATAGAAATTTTGTTATGACTTAGAAAAATACGAATCTAGTTTCATGTTTTTCCTAAAATCATGATCTACCTTTTTATTACTTGCTCAGAATTATTTAAATCTTATATGATCTCCTAAAATTCAAAACTAGGCTAATGTGAAATAGAGGCTGCAAATAGAGTCAAATCCTTGTAGACTGCATTGTGAATCAATATGTAACCCACCGTGCAAATTATAGAGATGTTTCCTCAGCAGCAATGTATAGTTAACTAGAGAAGAGGAGATCGAAGACGGCCTCACCCCCACCCCTCCAGGAGTGCTACATGGCCCACATGGAAGACGACGCTAAGACTTGTGAGACGACCATGGAGGCTACGACGATCATTTCGAGACGCACACCTCCACAGCCGGCCACAACCACCGATAGTTCTAACTATAAAAAACATAGAGAATGATTTTAGGAAAAAACATAATTCTTCTATGCTAGGGCCTTGTTTAGATACTCTCAAAATTTTAAGTTTTTTCACTCTCTCTCCATCACATTAATTTTTAGCCGTTTACATGAAGCATTAAATGTAGGTAAAAAAAATAACTAATTGCACAGTTTAGTTGAAAATCACGAGATAAATCTTTTGAGCTTAATTGGTCCACGATTAGACAATATTTACCAAATAAGACGAAAGTACTACTATTCATCGGGTTGAAATTTTTTGCAATCTAAACATGACCTAGGCTTAGTCTGGCCCAGGGAACTTATCGGCACCTTGAACGACAGTTCCTTGTGCCTAAATCGTTGCCTTTTTCACTGTATTAGATGATACTATGCTAGGCTTAGTCTGGCCCAGGGAACTGTGGCAATAATAATTTGTGGCTTTCAGGCTGCTGCAGAACTCTTCTTATATTACTTTTAGGCTTAGGTGACGTTTAATGTGCAAGTAGTTGTTTTGATGTTTTTGCGTGATAAAGCGGTTTCAAGCTATGCTCACCCTGATGTTGTACGATGATGCGTGCAGCTAATCTGCTTAAACTTTAGTTATCGACTTCTGTATACTTGGCACATGGGAATGGTGTCTAGATTTTTGTCCAGAAAAATAACTTTGTCAATTTCACAATGTTCTTATGAGGTGTCTTTTTTTGACGAGGATGTCATGAGGTGTTATAAATATACAAAACTAAGAAATGAAACCTCGGGTGATGAACTACAGAAAGTGCCCTGCCCCCGCGTCGCTCTCTGTACGAGCAACATGGGCGGCGCCCAACACACACACCAGCGCCGCCCCTTCGCCACCTCCCCAGAGCCTCGCCGCCGCCAGAGGCAGCCACTGGAAGCCCGCGTGGCTCCAAAGGATGGCAGCGGCGGGGATCTCGTCCCTCTCCTGGATTCGAAGCTGTTGGTATTTATTAACTTGTCACTTGTTTAAGTAGTCACCTAATGTAATTGATATTTCTTAGCATCACTTTTACGAAGTTGTCATCCCTAGCGATAGTGGCAGAAATGCTTATTGGTACTAGCTAATGCCACTTCTAGAATGACACTAAGAAGTACTTTAGTATTTCATGTGACTAGATAGAATATATATAATTGAAAGGAATCTACAAGCGCACAGATAATATATCATTGTAGCACTTCACCTGGGAGTATTCTAGATATCGTTATTTATATTTTTACCACAGGGAATGACGAGCAGTGGGAATATATTGATAACTTATACACACGATGGAGAAATAAACCATAACCAAACTTCTACTCACAACAGGAGTAAGTCAAAAGATAAATGTATATGAGTGGCAAGTAATAACTAATCATTGATCACTCAGAGTACTCATTTCTATGGTATTAGCATGGCTAAGTAGAATATTAGAGGAATAATTCCTAAGTCATTCTTAATTATAAGTCAAAGCATACATTGATTAATGCAATTACACTTAGTCATAGGATAAACTATGTATATGATAAGTATGGATTAATGATAAATCACTCAGAGTACCCCTTTCTATTCCATTAGCATGGTTAAGTAAAATATTAGAGGAATAATTCCTAAGTCATTCTTAATTAC